TTTGGCCATCCAGGCGAAACATGGTACCGATGTGCTAATTATATCAGTCAGCTTAACTGATATAATTAATCATATCGGTATCATTTTTGTCGCCTCGATGGTCAAATTTGGAGACGATTTTAGGCTAAAATTGCAGCAGGCGGTTTTTTCTTTATTAAACTGGCCTATGGACTTCCACGCCCTGCAGCTAAGGAGGGGGGGGGGGTGTTTGAATATCCTCTCAGACTCGGCTCCTGCGCCACGTAGCGACACGTAGTAGAGGCGTTCGAAAGAAGGTCCCAAATCAGGACGAAAACAAATGGGTCATTTTTATTTTTTAGGTTAGGTCAAAGGTCAGGTAACCAGAGGTCATCAATGTTAAAATGTTACCTATTTCAGCATTTTTCGAAACATCGGCACATAACATAACTCGAGAACAAATAGAGCTACAACCCGCGGAGAGCGCATTCGACAATCTTTTTAACACGCACATCTGAGATCTCGAGAACGAAGCAAGATAGCGACAAGCGGTAAACGGCATCAGATACGCACGGACAAGGTCTACAATTTTTACTCAGGTCATTTTCAGGTCAGGTCAAAGATGACGTCACAGGGGTCAAAAAAGTCAAAATGGTGGCGCTTGATATGGAGTTTTTCTCGAATAAATTTCGAATAAGTCAAGATAGGAACAAACTAAGGGCATCATCGTGATCCTCTCGTCAATCTGCATCGAATGATATACATATGTTGACCTCGAAAGGTCAAGGTCAAAGGTTGACCTCAGGGCACGTGACCTCGAGGTCATCATGTACCTATATCATTCGATGTGTCTTGACGAGCTGAACACAATGAGACCATCCGCGCGGCTGTATCTTGTTCCTGTACGGAGTTATTGGCAAAAAAACCTTTGGTAACCTTTGATGACGTCACATGACCTCACAGCTGCCCAACAGCAAAACTGACCTCAAGGTAGTGAAGGTTGATCGTATATGAAGTCATGTATGGTATATGGGGCCATTCCGACCCGTTTTAGTGGTAAAAACAGGGAGTTGATTTTTCCCCCATTGACTTATAATGGGGAGGTCGAGAAATTGACCTGACCTTAGGTCACCGATATCAAAATTCCGAGATAAACAAATTGTAGTTACTAATGACCTAATAACAACCTGCGACTTTCAAAGGCCTCCGACATCTACTGTAGCTCTGGCACGGTGACAAAGTTGCAAAAAAGTGACTTGAGGTTGGGTCATTCAAAGTAGCCTGGTGACCAGACCTTAAAAGTTAGGAGGTTCAAACTTGCACACCATGTGTAAAATTGATGAGAGAATAGTAGTACCAAATTTCGCTATTCGCTAAAAACCTCAGGGGGGCGGATATTCGCCCCCCCCCCGTCGGTGCGCGTGTTAACCTTCTTTCTAAACGTGTCATCAGAATTGACGTCAAGTTAACGGTTTAGACCTGATGCATTTCCGACAGTATTTTATCGCAAACGGACAACAGTAGCGGTATTTTTAGACATCACAGCAGCTTCCAAAGATAAGCACACCTCGGGGCGTTCAAGCCCTGGACCGCCTTGTGAAAGTGGGACCCGCCCGTGCTCCGGGGCAGCACAGAGAGGAGGACCGAGACCGCATGTCCATCGTCGCTCCTCACGGCTGCCGTCCGCAGGGGTCAGTGGTGGTGGGTGTGTCGGCGGATCAGCCACTGTGTCGAGTGGCGGCCCCGCAACTGGCTCTTCTTCCGATGCCTGGAGTGACGGAGCGATCCTGGTCGGGGTCAGTCCGGACGATGGCGGCGGCGACGGTCCCGGTCTGGTGCCCACTGCTGGCCTGGCTGTGGCCAGCACAGAGGCAGCGTTACCTCTGGCCACGGCGATGGAGACTCTTTGTGAGAGCCAGACTGTTTCACGCTCGTCGCCGGTGCGGGCTGTCAGCCGACGGCTTAGACTCCAGAGGACAAAACTCGAAATATACGTATAGCCGTTTTCACGAGAAAAGTGTTTTTATTCAATAACGTTTCACCAAAAAAAAAAAAAGTTATAACATTACTTTGACCAGCATCGTATTCCTCTCGTCGAAACGCGTCTAGAATGAACTAAAATTTGACCTTGATGGTCAACTTGAAAATTTGACCTCAGGTCAAGGCCATGACCTGACCGGAAAAGGTTATGTCGTATATCAATCCATCCATATCGTCAACCCGAACACATCTGAGGTGTGTTCACCGCTCTAGCATGTCTACTCTGTATCAAAAGGTATTGTCAAAAAAAAAAAAAACGGTTGGGGGCTTTAACCCTCGCATGTGTGCGGCGTTTTCCAGCTTCTAATGTGTAGGGGGGGGTCGGTTGGACCCCCCTCCCCTTGCCGTTTGGCCCCTGATTGAGCTAGAGCTTCGCGGAAAAAACGAGCGTGTTGCCCGTGACGAGAGGAAGCCGATGATACCCAATTTTAAGGTCCTAGGTCATTGGTTGACCTTCCAGGTCAGGTCAATGACCCAAAATCGGGAAAATCGGGACCTGTTAGAAAGTCGTAAAGTGTGGCTGCTAAGGGGTTTTTCGGGGTGCTGATCACGAATATTGTGTTAGTTTTGATCACAGATGATGTCTTTAAGCATTTAGACCAGGTCGGGTCAGGTCAGGTCAGGTCAACCAGTAGGCGTCGGGACGGGTATTCGCAGTACGTGTCAACCGCCTCTGACAGCTTCGTAACATGTTACGAAGTCACCAAAACTACTTCGTAAATGTTCAAATGGTTGCTAAATTCGAATTCAGCTCCAAAAACTAGCCTAGAAACATGTAAAACTCGAAAAAGTGAACCGAGGTCACCCGAGGTCACCAAAGGTCAATGACCTGACCTGACCTTCAGGTGACCTTGACACCCACCCTAATGTATGGGAGCAACATCAAATCATATGTTTGAACGTTTGAAACCACGAAAAGCTTGCAAACGCGCGGCTAATGCGAGCCGACATACGCAAAATCGCGATTCCGGCCAAACATGGTCTCTGGAAAGAGGTCACAGGTCAAAGGTCATTTGGGTCAGGGTCATGAAATTTTCAGGGTAGGTGTAAAATTGACAATGCGAGGGTACTGAAAGTTTCGTCGCGATCGGCCGCTTTTTACGCGAGTTATTCGCGAAAAACCATGGGGGGGGGTCCATCCGACCCCCCCCTACACATGCGAGGGTTAACCCCCGCCCCTCTGGGCTATTCAGCTATACGCGCCCTGCTGGGAGGGGGGGGGGGCAGATTCTGCCTGTCTAACTTCCGAACCGATGGTCGTAGAAAGACGGGAAAACGGCAATCGAAAGCATTCAACAAGGCAGATCTTAATAACCCAAATTTTTTTTGCTTAAGTAGGTCAGAGGTCAGGTCAAGGTCAGGTCAAGGGTACAAAATGCAAGCTTCTACATTATCGGCCTTGCACCGTAGCGTTGCCGAAGAATGGACTGAGACTGATTGCCCAAAACGTGTTCTTAGGCTACCAAGACAATATTCGTTGCATACATTATCATTCAAAGGTCAAGGTCAAGGTCAGGTCAGGTCAGGTCACTGGTCAGGTCACCAAAAAACAAAATATAGAAAAGGGCATGTGCGACACATGTTTTATGGGTCATTTTATTCATAGAATTCAATAGGCACAGCAGTCAGCACACTCAATAAGTGAAATGGACCACCTCTGGATGAATTTCAGGTCGAGGTCAGGTCAAGGTCAGGTCAAGTGAGGTCAAACTTGAAGTTGGTTGTTAAGGCCTAAAAAGGTGTTTTTCTGATGCAGTTTTTCACGGCGAATCGAATGGCGCTATTTCTGTTTCCGTGAGAGGTCTAGAACTTCAAAAAAAAAAATCAAAAAAAGTTGTGTGTCGTGACGTCATAAAATTTTGAATAACTTTCACATTTTTTAACCGAATCTTCTAAAAATTGGTATGAAGTTGCACATGTAACACTTCTCTGACATATATTCCGTTTTTTTCGATACACTCAACATTTTTGATTTTATAATTATTTTCCCAAAAAGTCAGTTTTTTGAAGAAAGAAATTGGGCCCAAACCCAAATTTTCAAAAAACCGAGATATTCATTTGATAGACAAAGTAGAATCACGTAAAAACTTTTTTGTTACGTCTTGATTCCTTTAAAAACGAAGATGTTAGCTGCGTTTGACGTTTTGCCGTCTTTTAGGCGAAAATGGCGAACATGACGTCACTAAAACGTAATTTTCTCAAAAAAAAAAATCCAACGGATTTCGCTCAAATTTTCAGAGAACGTGTCGCATTGATGTGTGATAAGGTACTGAAAGTTTGACGTTGCTGGCCTAACGAATTTAGAAGTTATTGGCGAAAAACGGGAGGGGGGCAGATTCTACCCCCCCCCCCGAGCGGGGCCTGGGTTAAGGACCTGGGGTGTGCCAAACTTGGCGGGGCCGCCGTCCCATCATCACTGAATTTGGAGTTGCGGGTGACCTGAATACTTGCCAAGCGCTGGTAAGTGCCCTTCTAGCTCTCTGGTCCAGAGAGTGAATATCAAACAAGATGTGGACTACGCCTGAATGCTAAGAGACTTGGAACCGGGCTACAAACAGCAACAAAAAAAAAACGCAGGCCGCAAATAGCTGTATAACAGCAAACAGACTCGTTGGAGGAAACAGTTGAAATTAACCAGTAACTACTTGTTTAGCAGCCAAGGTAGCTGACCGTAAATGACCTGGTGATGTTCAGTGGCCATCGAAAACGTTACATCAGATGCTACTCATTTATCATTTCATTAAAAAAAGATGATATCCTGACGGCATTCGTTATTATGATGAAGCTTGACTTGGTATCGCAACCTATTAATCATCTTAATTGATTTCGTCGATATATTTGTAAACATAGTTCTAGACATATGATTCAGGATTGAAAATGCATTTAACTAGATGCGTTTTTTACCCTTGCAGGACAAATTTCAACAGATCAATTTCTGCCCAAGATTTGGTGCAGTGTACGGACCTCGGCCCCAGGTCTGGTGCCAGGTGCATTGTACTGACCTCGGCCCCAGGTCCGGCGGGGTCAGCAGGATGACACAGGTGACGATCAGCGAGCTGACCAGGCCGATCACTAGCAGCGAGATGAGGATGCCGCGCCAGTTCCGCTGGGTGGGAGTGGCGGCCACCAGCTCCTGGTGGAGGCAGGCACTGGTCAGACCCGGCACAGGGTGACCCGCCACTGGTCAGACCCGGCACAGGGTGACCCGCCACTGGACAGACCCGGCACAGGGTGACCCGCCACTGGTCAGACCCGGCACAGGGTGTCCCGCCACTGGTCAGACCCGGCACAGGGTGACCCGCCACTGGTCAGACCCGGCACAGGGTGACCCGCCACTGGTCAGACCCGGCACAGGGTGACCCGCCACTGGTCAGACCCGGCACAGGGTGTCCCGCCACTGGTCAGACCCGGCACAGGGTGTCCCGCCACTGGTCAGACCCGGCACAGGGTGTCCCGCCACTGGTCAGACCCGGCACAGGGTGTCCCGCCACTGGTCAGACCCGGCACAGGGTGTCCCGCCACTGGTCAGACCCGGCACAGGGTGTCCCGCCACTGGTCAGACCCGGCATAGGGTGACCCGCCACTGGTCAGACCCGGGACCGGGGACAGGGTGTCCCGCCACACTGGCCACTGGTCAGACCCGGCACAGGGTGTCCCGCGCGCAGACCCCGGGGACAAGGTGTGCCGGTCAGACCCCGGGAACAAGGGGTGCCGGTCAGACCCCCGGGGACAAGGGGTGCCGGTCAGACCCCAGCGGCGCTAGGACGCCACCGAGGTGCACAAACACCAGCAACAGCAAGGGTAAATCAGCTGCAGTTGTTCGGCAGTGACGCCTATCCGGGAGCGTCCGAGAAGAACAAATAAAACAGGTAAAATGAGTGAACTAATGAACTCAAAAACACTCGACCCTGCAGAGACTATTTCACACTGTTGATAACGTGATTGTGATTTTGTTGATAACGTGGGGTGATTTTGCTTTAAAAAAAGCGAGGTGACATTTATTGAATTCCCGGCCTTAGGGATGGAAGGCGTTTCCCATACATGCCAAAAAGCTCACAAATAGGGGAGAGTGGGGCACATTCGTGCAAAAAAAATGGATAAATCCATATATCTGTTCTTTGGTTGGTGCTATGTCAAAATTGTTTATTGTAGCATGGAAAGGAACTATTGCAGATATTTTTCCTCTTTAAAAGTTATCCTCTAAAATTATCGCTTCTTTTAGAAAAAATGACTTTTAATAACACTGAACGGTTGCACGAACCTGCCCCAGGTATGGGGCACATTCGTGCAAGGGGGGGCACTTTCGAGCACCCTGCAAAATTCGAGGAACTACCGGGCATTACCAAAAATTTACCCGATAAAATTGGCGGGGGGTAATTTCACTTGATTCCTTTCGACAAGAATGCATTGCACAACAAATGTAGAAAGAATGGGCTGGCCAACAAGAATGTGCCAACTGCCGACCATCGCACAGTGTGGCCAAACGCCCGATTAGCGCGAATTCAATCAAAAAACGAATTTTGGAATTTTGACTTTTTGATGCAAATGGGGTTCACGAGTGGCCATAAATACCAAAAAGTCAAGTTTACCAAACCGAGTAAATCACGATATGGCTAACCAAATAAATGTTTGGTGCATCTAAAATCAGATAGCTTTCACGTTTTTGTCAAAACCGGCCTCGTGTATGATTGTCAGAAGTCGTGACATTTTCTATGTCGTAAAATGACTGTCAGATACTTGCAAGTTCAAACGCCGCTAGCGTGCGCTCATTTAACACAAACTGCAAAAATTATACATGGCAATGATCCCTAATGCCTGCTGCTTCTCATGCTAGGGTACCAAAAGCCGTATCTCTTTTGATTTGGCGATGATCTAATCATCTGTCATCATGTTGCAATAACAATTTTTAGTGAAAAATATTTGCTTTTGTTTCACCTACAGCAGCTAACACAGTGTGTGCCCGTTAGTGCACCATACCATAGCATTCCCTAATCATTTCTGAGCCACACCGTGAACGAATTAAGGCGCTAGCACAAGGCAGGCCGGCGCTACTGAAGTTTTTGTCCGGCGCGGTCGGGTGCCGCGGTGGGGGCGGATTGCTTTCACCGCGGATTGCAATTTTGACATACGTTTGACTTTGACCTGCTATAAGTAGGTCAAATATTGACCTTACGTAAAAGTAATATGCTCACTCACGAGATCTTGCCAAGGGCAATCCGTTGGTTTTATTGCGAGGCGCTAGGACACTTCGTTTAGGAACAGGAGAGGGATGCACCGACGAACCCCGCTGTGGCCGCTCGCCCGCGGCGCGGCCGCCCGCCCACCGCGGCAGACGGCACCCGACCGCAACGGACGAAAACTATAGTAGCGCCGGTCAGCCCTGTGCTAGCGACTTCATTCTTTCACAGTGCGACTCAGAAATGATTAGGGAACGCTATGATATGGTGCGCTAACGGGCACACACTGTGTAAACTGCTGTAGGCGAAACGAAAGCAAATATTTTTTTTAGTAAAAAACTGCGATTGCAACATGACGGCAAATAGTTAGATCAACGCCAAACCAAAAATGATACGGCTTTTTGTGACCCTGCATTAGAAGCAGCAGACTTTGGGGATCATTGTGATGTATAATTTTGGCAATTTGTATTAAATGAACGCACGCTAGCAGCGTTTGAAGTTGCGAGTATCTGAGAGTCATTTTACGACATAGAAAATGTCACGACTTCTGACAATCATACACGAGGCCTGTTTTGACAAAAAATATGAAAATCATGTTTTTCAGACACCCCAAACAGTTGCCTGACTGGCCATATTACGATTTATTCGATTAGGTGAACTTGAAATTTGGGCCTTTTCGGTACTTATGGCCACTCGTGAACCCCATTTGCATCACTGTGAAACGGTGGGTGGCCGCTTTTCCCCTGGTGACCGCCTTGCCCCACTCTCCCCTACATTACCTATCGGTAAGATTTCATTGTAACTTTAAACATAATCAGTTCAAGGTTCACGCGTCAACATTGCAGTGTTTTAATATTTCTAACGCAATTACCTCATCCATTGGGTCCTTCTTGTCCATTAGACCGTTTGTCTTTCACGTTTCACTTGCTCCATAGATATAAGATCTTAAAATGGTCAGCAAAGTCGTACAATAGGAATAAGTATCATCAGCTGATCACCATGCACGGAACCGCACACTATTGGGTTGGTGGTGGGCTGGCTACTGGCAGTACATACGCAGGCTAAAGGTCAGGGGTTTGTCTGACCTTGGGCAAGGTCTGCCTGATCGGGGATGGGGTCTGTCTGATCGGGGAAAGTAACTATTTTACCGGAGATGGAGACTGTCTTACAGAGACTGTCTGACCAGGGATATGAACTATCCAACCAGGGACAGGGACTGTCTTACCGGGGACAACCAGACTTTCTGACCAGGGATGGGTCTGTCTGACCTTGGACAGGGTATGTCTGACCGGGGATATGGACTGTCTGACCAGGGATGGGGTTTGTCTGACCTTGGACAGGGTATGTCTGATCGGGAACTGAGACTGTCTGACCAGGGATATGAACTGTCTGACCGTGGATAGGGTCTGTCTGACCGGCGATCGAGACTTTCTGACCAGGGATGGAGTCTTTCTGACCTTGGACACTGGACAGGGTCTGTCTGACGGGGGACAAGGTCTGTCTGACGGGGGACAGGGTCTGTCTGACCGGGGATAGGGTCTGTCTGACCTTGGATAGGGTCTGTCTGACCTTGGATAGGGTCTGTCTGGCCAGGGACAGGGTCTGTCTGACCGGGGACAGGGTCTGTCTGACCGGGGACAGGGTCTGTCTGACGGGGCGAGGCGGCGCGCGGACGGGACGAGCGCTGAGAGTGAGGTCACCACTGGAGCGGCGCGGCGCACCTCACTGATCCAGCGGTCGGCACCGACTGGCGGCGGCCGGACGGCATCGATCTGCGCCGCCGCCGCCGACGCCGCCGCCGCCGCCGGCCAGTACCTGTCGACGCCGCCGCGCCGGCTACCAGCTGAAAATCGCCCGCCGAGAAGGGCTCTGGCTTTTATCTGCCGCAGGCAATGTATCACTATCAGTAGCACTAGGGATATCCGCCGGAACGCCAAAAGGGCAAAGCCCTTTTTAACAAATAACAATAACAAAATACCAAACATAACAGCCTGGAGATACGCGTTCTGTCAAAGTCAATGATATGTGTTTGTATGTCTGTGTGTGTCTTTGTGTATACTGATGTGCGCACCGATTGGATTGTGTGACCCTATTACATGAGATCATGATCTGAGAAGCTTTTACCAAAAATGCAGTCAAAAACTTCACACGAAAAGTAAATTCAACAGGCATTTACTTTTCGTGTGACCCCTGTCGACCCCCTCTGATGTCAAATTTACGAAGCAATTGGGTATCACTGCACGGCAGAGCAAGACGACTTATTCGGCTTAGTCCGGGTACACTCTAATGCGTATACTATAACTTCTGAACGGGGAATCAAGACTCTAAATGGGCATCACATCCGGCGACAGGGGCACCACAAACTTCGATGGGGGCATACCAAACATAACAGCCTAGAGACACGCGTTCTGTGCAGCACCTAATGGATGCTTGGAAGCTGAACCCGCGCCCCAATGGAGGTGGGGGGGAGGGGCTAGTCTATTCATAGCCCATTTCCCGTTTTACTGCAATATCTTATACCCCCCCCCCCAATGCATGAGGGAAATATCATATCACATGTTTGGACAGGAAGACTGCAAACGCGCGGCTAATGCGAGCCGACATATGCCGAATCGCGATTCTGTCCAAACATGGTCTTGAAAAGTAGGTCACAGGTCAAAGGTCATTCGGGTCAGGGTCATGAAATTTTCAGGGTAGGTGTAGAATTACTTAACGCGAGGATAATGAAAGTTTCATCGCGATGGGCCGCTTTTTACGCGAGTTGTTTGCGAAAAACCGAGGGGGGTCCATTTGACCCCCCCCCCTCGGAAAAAAAGATGCTTAAAGTCAAAAAGATAAAAAGTCAAATACAAAAGGTCAAAAACAAAACTAACAATTGCTTAAGAGTCAACACAGCAAAATAATAGTTTCATTGGCGGAAATCTGAAGAATGGCGGTTCAATGACGAAATGTGACT